GTGGTAAAGTGCATGCTTAGTCTGCATGAGGTCCTGGGTTCAATCCCCAGTAAGTTCTCTAAAAATAAACAAACAAATAAACAAACCTAATCTCCCCCCAAAAACACCCCCCAAAACAAACAAAAATAGATACCCTGGACTCAATGATTTACAGCACACACTCATTTTATCTTTACAACGGCCCTTAAGGTAGGTACTATTATTATGCTCATTGTTCAAATGAGAAGACAGAAGCAGAGAGATTACATAAAATTGCTCTATCCAGCCTCCATCCAGGTGGCCAGTGGTAGAGCCAGGATTTGGACCCATGCTGTCTGCCTTTGAAGTCTGTGCTCTTAGCTCTAAGCTTGGGATTGAATAAAGCACCATATTCAAGTTCACTACAGTCTAGGGACTGAATGCCTGTGTTAGAGATGAAACTAGAAACACCTGAGAAGCTGCCCCTGCTTTGTCGTTCCATCCTCAGGAGAAAGCAACCTTACAGTACAATAGGTCAAACCCTCAGGCCAGGGACTGTAGGGAGGGTGCTGTCCTGACACCAAGGACTGAGAACAGCTTGTTTTACTTGGCAGAAAACACCGTGTTCCTTTGAGTGTGGTTCCTGACTCTAAGCTGTGACATTTCTTGTTGGAGAGACAAGACGTATGAATGGGCATATTGGAAACAATAACCATCTGGCACAAAGCTATGTTGTTTTCAGTGTTACCAAAGGCCAAAGTGTATGAAACAAAGAATTAGGACTTTGGGTCAGGATGGGGAATGATTCATTAATTGATTCATTTTTATCAAGAAATACTTACTGAGACTGGGGAGGGCTGGGCTGTGGTTACGGTGGCTGAGGGAGACAGCCTGAGTGGGTGAGGAGGTGGGGAAAAAAATTTACTGAGACTGTGCTCTATACCAGACACTGGGTTAAGCCCAGGGAACTCAGAGATGAATTAAGTCCAGTCCTGTCATCAGATCTAGATGGAAGGGGTGGTCAGACAAGTACATTACAAACCACAAAGGTAATTGCCATAGACTTATTTCAAATCTTTCAAAATTATCCAAGGATGAGAGAGTGGTGAGGGTGTAGCTGAAACATGATGGTTCATGTGTGAATTGTTGAAGCTAAGTTGTAAACACGTAAGTTCGATATGCTAGTACACTTTTAAATATGTTAAAACTCTCCTACAGTAATAATAATAAAAAAGAAAATAATGGGTGAAGAACATGTTCAAAAGTAGCCCATCCCATGTTTAACAACAAAAAAAGAAACTTTATGGGCTCTTAAAAAAAATGACATTTTAATTAGCCTTGAGAGACTGTGACTTAAGGAAACCAGAGTGCCCTAAGGAAACTGCCAGAAAGAGGCGTCTGGTAGAGCATGGCTTCCATGTTCATTATTTTTGTTTGTAGGACAACATGTTAAATTACTGTGTATTTTGGCTAATAAAAATCTGCAAAAAAGATAGGTATTTGTTCAGCACAGTGAAAGCACAAGAGAATGAGCAAAATATTCAAAAGGTGAGTTTTGAGCAGCTGGTGGGGTTTGGGTATAACGAGATGGGGAGGGCACTCCAAGATCCAGATGAGCATCAGCAATGATTCAGAACCAAAATAATGAAATTGATGTTCATAGACAGATGGCGAGTCTAGAGGTCAGTCAGTGGGAAACAGGACTGCATAAGGTAAAGCGAAATGGTCCAACCCTTTATTATCAAAGTTAGGAGTTGGTTTTATCTTTATATCCTATACCTAAAACACTTACATGGCACTTAACACACGACAGATACTGTTGTGTTTTACAGTCAATGGGCCTTTACAATACCTTCTTGAAAATAATAAAAGTAATATTTTTGAGCATAAAATTTTTCAAAATGTCTTGAAAGTCATTCTGCATATTTTGGAAAACAAGTGTTTTCTATTTTTTTAAAATTGAGGTAGAGTTGATTAACAATATTATATTAGTTTCAGGTGTACAACATACTGATTCAATATTTTTATAGCTTATACTCCATTTAAAGTTACTATAAAATATTGGCTATAATCATTGTATTGTACAATATAATCCTTGTAGTTTATTTTTTACGTAGTAGTTTGTACCTCTTAATCCGGTACTCCTATCTTGCTCCTCCCCTCTCCTCATTGGTTAACAACCACTAGTTTATTCTGTATGTCTGTGATTGTTTCTGTTAGCGTTTTCTATTTTTATTACTTGCTTAAAAGGTTTATTTTATTATCTCTATGAAGCCCATGACCTCTCTCTACCTTGGCACACTGCCTCCCCAAGGACGATGGCAGTCCTGCATATTTTCTCAAAGAAAATCTCAGGCAGAGGCAGAATTTGGACTGGAACTTTAGGGACAGTTACAATGGGAACAAAATTGCTAAGCCCTGAAGTCCTTACTCTGCCATGAACAATATAGTTTGTGCTCAAAGTGACCCACATCAGTGATACATAAGTGAAGTGAGTTCCAATTTCAAAAGGACCCGTTTGCACAGTTAACCTGCACCTTCCCCTGAAGTTTCATCTAACTATACCAAGAATTCTTAAGTCCTCAGATCTGGGTAACAGGAAAGGCAATTCTCTATGTAATTGTATGATCAACACAGAAAATTTGTGAACTTCCTGAAAATGATACTTAAGGGAGAGGCTAGGCATGCCAATACTGTGAAACACCCACCTCAAAAGATATCAGGTTCAAATTCAATTCTTATTTCCTTACTCAGTGGTTTGCTGGGGAGCCAATCTGCCCTTCTAGGTTCTTCTGGCTGGTCTAAGAATTAAATTGACATAGACATTAATAAGAGAAAATCAAACAAAAGTTTAATAACATATATACCTGAGAGAGACCCAGGAAATCTGAGTAATTCACCAAAATGGCCAAAACCCTCACCTTAAATACTATCTTCAGCTAAAGATAGAAAAGGTTATTTGGGGCAGTGGTTTGGGACTTCAAAGGCAAGGAAGGCAACTGACATTGAGATTAAAAAGCAAATGTTTGCTCCAAAGAAGACATACAGATGTCCAACAGGCACATGAAATATCGCTAATTATGAGAGAAATGCAAATCAAAACTACAATGACGTATCACCTTACACTGGTCAGAATGGTCATCATCAAAAAATCTACAAATAATAAATGCTGGAGAGGGTATGAATAAAAAGGAACCCTCCTACACTGTTGGTGGGAATGTAAATTGATGCAGCCACTATGGAGAGCAGTATGGAGGTTCCTTAAAAAACTAGAAATAAGATCCAGCAATTCCACTCCTGGGCATATATCTGGAAAAGACACATGCACCCCAATGTTCATAGCAGCACTATTTACAATAGCCAAGATGTAGTCTCAACCTAAATGTCCATTGACAGGTAAATGGATAAAGAAGATATATGATACATATAGAAATAATGGACTACTATTCAGCCATAAAAAGAATGAAATAATGCCATTTGCAGCAACATGGATGGACTTGGAGATTATCATACTAAACGAAGCAAGTCAGAGAAAGACAAATATCATATGATATCATTTATATGTAGAATCTAAAAAATTGATACAATTGAACTTATTTACAAAACAGAGATGGACTCAAAGACATTGAAGACAAACTTATGGTTACCAAAGGGGAAAGGAGGGAGGGATAAATTAGGAGTTTGGGATTAACAGGTACACACTACTATACACAAAATAGTTAAACAATAAGGACCTACTGTGTAGCATGGGGAACTATATTCATTATCTTATAATAATCTAAATGGAAAATTATCAGAAAAAATATATGTACACACATATAACTGAACTACTTTTCTGTATACATGAAACTAACATAATATTGTAAATCAACTATACTTCAATTTTAAAAGTTTATTAAAATGTACATAAAATTGTTGCTAGAATTGGCATCTCTGAACCACAACCTATGGCTGTTTTATTAAACACCAGAAGAGAAGAGGAATGGACAATCAGACATTCAGATATTTTGTCAACATGCTGTTAAGTGTAGAGATGTTTTAGAAACATCCACTGTTTGACAATTTTATTCCCACAGCTGTTTAGTGTTGCATAGGCACAGAGATTTCCCCTTAATCTAAAGACCCTAATCATCTGTTAGAGCAGTGTATTCCATTTGTATACCACAGCCTGTAATTTATATCATGGCCCACTATATTTGTGCGTATATTCACACCTGCATCCACCCCCCGCAAATGTATAATTGAAAAAACAGCTTCAAAAAGTAATACATAGCCTTATTACATGTGATGAAAAAGAAAAAAAAAGCAAATGCTTGGTAAACTACTGCTAGCTCTGGGCCATGCAGAGGCAATGGGACAGAGAGAGGAATTTTAACAGATTTTGCTGGGTTCCTGTCTACCACACCTAGTTCATACTATAGCTATCTATGGTGACAGCTCCCTTCTAGAACAGGTCTTCTACCTACATTTCTTTAGGCAGTCAAGGGGAAGGCCAAAAGTTTCTCCTCAGTCTTTTGGACCTGTTTTCACCTCAAAATAATCTGCATGCCAAAGAGACATTTTGGGGTGGCAGATTTGGGTTCCCTACAGGATGAACCTCAAACAAATCCAGGTGAAAAATATCATTTAATACACCAAATTTTTAAAATATTTATTTCTAATGTAATGTAGCAGAAACACTGGCGAGAAAGGAATACACTTTCATTCTGAATTCGCTCAAAGGCCACACTCTCTCCGTAGGTTCCCTGACGGAGCTCCCAAGGACCTGGTTCAGCTCATCCAACACCGCCCTCCCTGGGTCGGGAGCCTTTCCGTGCGAACGACCCAGGCACCGGACCTAAGGGCTTCCTGACCCTCCCTGTTGAGAAGAGGGAGAGAGGTTTTTGGCCCTCCTCCATATTAAGTTGGCCCCCCGGCCTCTCTACCTCCTAAGCCTCAACGGCTTTCCTTCCAACCGCTGCTCTTCCCTAGCTCAGCCACTTTCCCTTTTCCGGGACCGGCGCTTTTCCCGCGCCCGGAAGTGCGTCATCAACCTGCGCCCCACGCCTGCGCCCCACGCTGCCGCGGCGCCCATGGAAGCGCTTGGTTTCTGATCCTGGCGTGCGCTGCGGGGAGAGGGTCCTGGACTGAAGCAGGGGTCTCCGACCCTCGGCGCCACCGCCATGCAGGTCTCCAGCCTCAACGAGGTTAAGATTTACAGCCTCAGCTGCGGCAAGTCCCTTCCCGAGGTGAGTCCTTCTCCTCGCCGGGCAACCGCCCCTCTCCTCGGCCCTGTCCCGGGCTTGTTTCAACTGGGCCCGCGCCAGCCTCAGACTTGGGGAGGCCCACAGGCGAGTGACGGTGCCCGGCGGAGCTGGTCGGTGCTGGGAGACGAGGACATTGCTGTCACCGCGGCAGAAGCTAGGCCGAGGGGGTGACCAGGGTCTATGAGCTTTGCTTGAACTTTTTTTTGGCTAAGTTTCTCTAGAAGAGAAGAGGTGTTCCTTTGGGTCTTTATGGATGTTCACAGCTACTGCCACACCGAGGAGGAAAACGTGGACAGATTGGATGGCAGATACTTCTCTCCCGTTTTAATGCCCCCTTATCAGCTGTTTATTGAATTCCTGTTATATGCCAAGTTCTGGAAATACAGCAGTGAAGAGAAATGCGTACTTTGAGTCTGCTGAATTTATGGTGTGAACTTAACTTGATTTCGTGGAATCTTAGGACGTCAGAATTGGAAGATGCTTGGAAAATCACTGATTCTCTTCCAATCTTTTCATGTTTAAAGTATGCAAAGGATCCAGCGAGGGGAAGGGTGACTTGTCCACTGTCAGACACGTAGGCTCTGAAGCTTGGATTTTATTTCTTATTAGCGATAGTCAGTCAGGCCACTCTCGAAGCACTGCCATTGAGAGGAAACTTTGCGGAAGCTCATTTACGTTTTGAGACTACCTGTGAGAGCGTTGATTTAAAACATGCCGCTTTCTTGCATGCTGGTGTGGGTCTGAGTTCTGCTCTTGGGAATCAGAATAAATGTAACTCTTCCTTGTGTCTGACTCTAAAAAGCTTTGGAGCCATGATTAAATTCTTCTCAGAATTCAATTTAAGCAACTCCTTGTTCTCCAGCTGTTTGTCACACAACAGGATCTTTCTCATTTTAGTACTTTCATGCTGCGCATTTGCTGAGAAGTGAATGCGCGCAGGCAGCCCGGTTCTGTGTTGGATACATGATGAACATGTCAGATAAGGGTCCCTGTTGGGGAAAAGAATAATAAATAAGCAAGTAGAAGAACTTCGGATACCGATAAGTGCTTTGAGTGCCAAGTGTCTGTGAGAGCTGTTGTGGATGAAGTGTTCAGAGAAAGTGTTTGGACTGAAGCCTTCAGGGAAGGCCTCTCTACCAGAGGTGACATTTGAGCAGAAACTTGGATGATGACAAGGAGCCGGTCATGTGAAGATACAGGGAAAGGAAGAGTTTCAGTGCTGAGAGAACAGAAAGTGTAAATGGCCCACAGTGGGAATGCACTTGGCACACTGGAGAGACAGAAGAGGCATGGTTGTAGCAATGATGTGCTCAGATGCCAGGAGCACCCACCCCTCTCCATTGTGGCAACAAAATATGTATTTAAGAATTGCCAGGTGCCCTTTGGGGGCAAAATTGAGGTTGAGAATCCTTGCTTTAAGGTAATCATAATTGTTTAGTGCTTCATCATTGGCACCTGTTCAGGCAGTGGACTTCCTGTTAGCTAAAATGAGGTAGTTACAGAACAAAATCTGGTATTAGTGAATATGACTTTTAAAAGTTTCAATTTTTTATTATCAAGTGTCAGCTATTTGGTCAGTTATTTATCTAGTTCTATTTTTTGTAAAAAATGTATTTTTAAAGAAACTTTCTCCATTTATTGTTTTGCTTTTTAAAGTTTCAGTTAAATACAGTTGTTACATCTATTAATTATAACCCATAATATTTGAGGCTTACTGCTTTCCCTTAGATTGATCAGATGAACTAGTTTTCTCTCGTGCAAAACATAATAGTTCTAAAAATTTATTGTCTAGTGTATATAAATAGATACCAAAAAAAAAATTTGTATACCAGGATACATTAACAATAGGATTAGGATTATATATAGAGTATTTTCATTTTCTATGCTGTATATTCCTGTAAGTTTTCAATTTTTTTAATATAAGCATGTATTATTTTTGTAAGCAGAAAAACAGTGCGAGTAAATATGTTTGAAAATAAAGTCTCTTCATTTTCCTTAAGTGGCTTTCTGACAGGAAGAAGAGAGCCCTGCAGAAGAAAGATGTTGGTGAGTATTATGTTTTTTCGTTTCAGCTACGTTTGTTATCTATATTATACTGCTTTTAACTCATTTATTGTTACCATATTTAGTGAAAGCTTACAAAGATGCAGTGGAATTAATACAGTAGAAAGTAAACTTTTTGCTCTTTTCCTTCTCAGGAAATGTTCTGTTGTGGTTGATACAGTCCTGTGGGTGTAGTGTTTAATTTTACCTACTTACATAAAGGTAAAAGTGGCCTGTTACTGTTTCATGGATAATAGCAGAAGACTTAAGACTCACGGGTCAGAGACAGGGACTCCATTACATGCACAGCAAATGGCACGAGTCCCAGCATTCTTCTCTTAGCTCCCCTCGCCCTGAGTTCCATGGCAGTACTTGGTGTGGCCCAGGTGGATGTTCTGCATGCAGTGGGTTTGTGTTGCAATTGAGGACCACTGAACTCGGGAAGTCACTGCTTTTAAAGCAAGCAGTAAGCAGGCCTGGTTTTTGTCTAGAGGAGGCTCACCTGTCAAGGTTCCCAGCTGCATAAATTACCCTGAGAAATGGTTAGGTTAGGGAGTAGCCAGGGCTTGCAGTCTTTCCATACCTAGCGAGATGTGCCAGAATGCAAGAGGTCCTAGAAGGACGATCTCTCCTAATGGTTCCATACTTGCTTTGTTTCCTAGTGTTTCAAAATCTTTGTCCATTTGTTAAATCTACTTGTCAGTTTTTGAGATATAGAGACAATGAACATTTTCTTTCTGAACAAAGTAATTTTACATAGAAGACATGTGAACATGAACAAAAGAAGATCATTGTGGAAGATTTTGATTCTTCAAGTTATGGTAGCAAGGAAGATAGGTTTGTAAGATTAGTTTTTAACTTAAATCATTTTGGACAAATTTCATTCAATTTTCTCTATTACAATTTGTCATATATGAAAGCTGACTTAGCTTCCCATATATTTTGTTCAAATTATTTTCTAAAAATCAAAGACCTTAGATATTAAAGAAGTGTCTGGATGTGAGATAAATACCCCAAACATCTTGGAAAAGTTGGCTTTATATAGTAGTAAAATTAGATAATTAAAACTTTAAGTTGAAGGAAAACACTTGTTTTAGCAGTGCTTACTCATTTTGATTTCTACTGATTCTCTCATTCTACTTCAGTGTTTTAGTGTGAGAAAACAGATTCAGATTATTTGATGGAAAAATTAATCACTGACTGTTCTAACCCATCTCAAAATTGTCATGTCTTCCAAATTGAGTAGGCCATTCCTGCTCAATTGGTTTGAATCTTACAGATTGAATGAACAAGGCAATAATATGTCATAGAGTGATAAACAGCCCTTGCAATGGGCACATTGTTAGAATAGCAACCAGCAAGAACCTGCACTTCTTGTTGCAGGGAACCAGTTTTTGTGAGAGTACGTTGTGGTGTTTTGATCCCAGACAGATTGTTCCAAGTCTTCTTCTAGCCTGGATCCTCTTGGCTGCAGATCAGTGCTGCCAAAATGAGGCAGAAGTCAGCTTGGTAGCAGTTGCTTATATAAACTTAAGATTTTAAAGGTTTAAACATCTTTTTTTTTTTCTAATTTTTAATGATGGTTCTGGGGGTTAAACCCACGACCTTGTGCATGTTAGGCATGTACTCTACCACTGAACTATATACCCCCCCCAAAACTTGTTATTATTTAGGAGAAAAAAGTGATAAAGATTTTTGTCTTAGACATAATTGGATAACAGTAGTGGTTTAATGTTTATTCTGGTCTCTCTTTATCCAGGGCTTAAAACTGGATGTTTGATGCACTTCTATAGGCATTTTTTTTTCAGTTAAAGATGATACTTTTTCCTTTTTGAAAAGTAAAAAGTAAAATAGTTTAGTGAAATAATGTATGAGCTAAGAGAAGACATCACTGTGTAGTGAGCGGGGCTGTGTTGTGTGCTTTCCCAAGGCTTGGAAGCACTGGGACATTGTTGACCTGTTTGTAGTGACTGCTCTGAATACTTCGTCTTCCTGTGATACAGAATAAGCACTTGATAGTTAAACCAGTTACTTATTTTCTTTCTTTGTAGATGTCCGTAGAAGAATTGAACTTATTCAGGATTTTGAAATGCCTACTGTTTGTACCACTATTAAGGTGTCAAAAGATGGACAGTATATTTTAGCCACTGGTAAGCATCTTTTTGATTATGATTTACACACATTTCATAGCAGGAAATGCTGTGGTGGGAAAGATCATTTTTTAAAAATTACCCTAATGTTTGATTATTAACATTTTTTAAACATGTGGAAATATTGAAAAAATTGTAGAGTGAAAGGACCATTTACTTACCTCCTAGATTCTTCGGTAGTTTTCTGTATTTGCTTTATCATGTATCTGTCTATCCATCTCTCTGCCGTCCATCAATCCATTCTGGGTTTTTTGATGCATTTCAGAGTACATTGCAGATATTAGTATATTTCACCCTGAAATACCTCAGCATGAACATCATTAACCAGAGTTTAGTATTTGTTTATGGCTCTTTTTTTTAATAAGATAAATTTACATACAGTGGAATGCACTGATTTAAAGTATTTCCTTTGATGAGTTTGAACAAATGCATCCACTCGTGTAGCCCAAACCCCTCCAGAATGCAAAACATTCCTTTCACCCAGAAATCTCCTTCATGCCCCTCACAGTCAGTCCCTGCTCACACCCATACATAGCCAGCCACTGCTGCGATTTACTTTCTCACGACAGATAAGTGTAGCTGGTTTTAGAACTTTATGTAAATGCAGTCACACACTATGTATTCTTGTTGTATAAGACTTACTTCACTTAGGAGTTCGTGTTTGAGGTTCATTCATGTCCTTATATGTTTGTTCTTTTTTAAAAATTACCAAATAGCATTTCCTTACAGGAATATGCCACACTTTGTTTATGTAATTTTCATTTGATGAACATCTGGACTGTCTTCCTTTTCCAGCTGTTATTGGGAAGGCATTATGAACAATCTTGTACAAGTGTGTTTTGAGGACATTGCTCTGTCATAGGGAAGGTGTATATTTAGTTTGATAACAAATTGCCAGATGTTTTTCCAAGGTGGTCAGATCATTTTATACTCCCACCAACAATGAATGAGAATTCCAGGAAAGGTCACTTTTATCATAATGATTTTCTCTATTGTGTACTAATATTTTTTGTATCACTAATATTTTATGTTAACAGTATTTATTCATCTGCATCAAAAAGCCATAAAATATAGGGAACTTTTAATGTATTATAATTTAGAGCAGCATTTACTCAACCTTTTTTGGTTGTGATTTTGATACTTATATCCTGTGTATTGTCTACATACATTTTTTTGCTGGCTTATCATTATCCATCTATATCTGTTTTCTAAGCACTTTCTTATTTGACAGAACTTTTATACATAAATGTGCCAATCTCTTTTGTTCTGTGTCAATGGTTGTCTCATTACTCACACTAGCTACATTTCTTAGCCTCCAGTTTTATGTTCAGAATATAGATTATATATATAATATGTAATTATATATTATATCTACTGTATATAGAATATATGTGTATATGTATACTGTATACTATTTTTAAATGAGATCTTGGGCTTTGATCCACGGCAGTAAACATAGAACTTCTTCATTCCTTTCTTTTAAAGTATGCTTTCTAGCTTTAAAGATCAGTCCTTTCCTGATTGCAAACAAGATAAACTTAAAAAAAAATACAAACATTATAGAAATATGTAAGATAAAATGTGAAAGGCCCTAAGATTGCACTTCACTGCGATAAAAGAAGTCACTGCTTATTCCTTCGCTTTTTCTGTGCAGTGTATGAGCGTTGCCACTGCTGAGTCTGACAGACGTGGGGGCACATTAGAAGCAGTACTTTGCAGAGCTCACCCGTGCTCGCTGCACTCAGTCTCCCTTTCACTTTGTAATACATTTTGGCAGCTTTCCGTATCAGTGGTTACAGGTCTGCATCATCCTCTTTATGAGCTATAGAATGATTTACCATCATCCATTAAACCATTGCCCTATTAGTGGACATTTCATTAGCTTTCAGTTTTTGGCCATTTGTAAACAATGCTGCAGTGAACATTCTTCATGTCTTTGGTACACTTGTGGGGGTGTTTCTGTAGAATAAATTTGTATAAGTTGAAATACAAGTTTAAGGTGTATAAACATCACATATTTAAAGAGATTGCCAGATTGTGTTCCAAAGAATTTTTAACAATTTATACTAATCACCAGTGTATGAGAGTAGAACATTTTTTGAACCTCTACCACAGTGCGGATATTAACCATCTTTTCATCTTTGCCATTTGATGGACAAAAGCTGTTTTATTGTTTTAATCTCCTTTGTTAGATTATTTGTGAAGATTATTAGTAATTTGTGTTTCATTTTCTATTACTGGCTTAGAAAAAGCATAAGAAAAACCTCTGAGGAGGGCTTCTTTTAAATTCTTTTTGTTCCATATGCGTATAATGAATCCTGCTCACCTCTAAACAAAAAGTATACTCAGCATATCTGCAGGGTGTTGATAGCGGGAAGTATGTTCTTTAGGTTTTACATCACATAACTTTTTTTTACAGGAACATATAAACCTCGGGTTCGATGTTATGACACCTATCAACTATCCTTGAAGTTTGAAAGGTGTTTAGATTCAGAAGGTAAGAGGTTAAATTTGAATTCATGAAAATAGTTTTTATATTTGATTGCTTCTCTGCTTTTTAAAATGTGAATAGGTTGTGTATTAGTTTTCTTTGATGTGTAACAAATTACCGTAATGCTCAGGCTAAAAAAATCCATTGATTAACTCATAGCTCTGTACGTGAAGTCCACCCAGGCTCTGCTGCATTCTGTGCTCAGGGCTGAACTCGAGGTGTCAGCCAGTTGGAACTCTTCTAGGGCCCCTGGGCAGGTTCTTTTTTCAAATTCAGGTTGTTGGCAGAATGCAGAGTTTGTTGTGGTTGTCAGACTAGGGTCCAGTTTGCTGCTGACTGTCAGCCTGGGACCACCCAGCTTTAGAGGCTACCTGCCTTCCTCCTTACCTGGTGCCCTCCTCCTTCAAGCCAGCACAGCTTACGGGATCCTTCCTGTGCTCTGAATCTCTCGGATTTTCCCTTCTCCCACCAGCCAGAGAAAACTGCTTTTAAAAGGCTCATGTGATTATAAATCTCTCCTTTGCTGTATAATGTGATGTAATCACAGGAGTGGTGTCTCATCACATTCACCGGGTCCGCCCACACTCTCCAGAGGAGGGGACTGTACAAGAGGGGAAGGTCAGTGGGAGTCATTCTTAGAATTGTGCCTGGCACAGGGAGCAGGTTGAAAGGGGAAGGCTCAGGTACTTTCAGGTGGCCTCACGTCGTTTGAGACGGAGGGAAGAAGTTAATGGGATACGTGTCCTCCTAACTTGTTTCTCTCTTTCTAAAATCAGTACAGGCTCCATGTGCCGCTAATTGTAACTTTTTGCAGTCTTTACTTTTGTTTAGCATGTATGTTATGAATTAGTAACTGTTTATCTTTTTTTAAAGCAATAATTTCTGTGTTTTTAATATCTGCTATTTTACTTTGAACATCTCGGAAGAACTGTAGCAGAATTTAGAAGTCATGTTTTTTGAATTTATCTGTTATTTGCTTCAGTTCTGCAGAAACTATAATTGATCTGTATTAAGAAATTATAAAACTTTCAATTTTCCGTTTGGTGTTTTGGGGACAATATCATATGGCAATTTTTTCTTGTTTTATGTAGGGACGAAAAAGAAAGAAAAAGCCAGCATTTGTACATAGTATTTGTGTTGAATTAGAATCTTTGCTTCAAGTCTGTATTTTTATTAAAAACATGAATTGATAATTGTATTTTTTCTTACTGTTTCTTATTTTACAGTTGTCACCTTTGAAACTTTGTCCGATGACTATTCAAAGGTATGCTTTATCACATTGGTTTATACTGCCATATGCTCAAGAAATGAATGAGTGGAATTTATTTTTATGATGATCCCATTGTTAAAAATGACTGTATAGTGAAATAAAACCTATCATTTATTTTATGAATATGTTTTTAGTTTGTCATATGTTTGTGATAATAGTGATAGGTACAGCCTTTGGCCAGTTTAATATCAAAATAAATTTTCCATCGCATGTATGAATGAAGCCTTAACTGTATTTTTAAGAATTGGTAGCAGTCATCTTTTTAGACCATCTTACATTCTAGATGTGTGATTTTCACGATTGCATTTAAACTAGGGTTATTTGCCAGGATGCTTTCATTTTCTTATTCATATGTGAAAAGAAAAATAAAGTGTTGTATGCTTAATTTTCTTAACCCTGCAAATAAGTGGTTGTGGCATATTGTGAAACAGTTCGAGACACAGCTAATATATATACATTTTCTTTTCTTTCTGTTTTGGTGCCTTTAGTGTATCTTTCAACTCCTGTGGTAATTTTCAACAGTTACAGGATTGTCAAGTGTCTTATCCAGTTTAAAATGAAAAATTTTTAGTGATGTCATACGTCATCTTGAAAGAGAACTGAATTTTCAGAGCTGACGTGCTTTATGTATCGTCTTCAATTCTGGAAGCTATGGAGTACAGTTTATCCTTCTGCCTATTGTAGCCGTTTATCATCTGTTTTGGGACGTGTAATTTTATTATATATTTTCTCTAGATATTGATAACTTTGCTTTTAAATACCATCTGCAGATTTTCAGATACCTTTGTAATACATTAAAATCAAATTTATACAAAGTGTTTATCAAACCTTGTGTAATAATTGTGAGATTATTAAAATGTGCTCTTAAGTAAATAGAAAATTACTCGCTGAAGTTTCTGAGCAGTGCCCTGCATTATAAAGTGCTTGTGCCAGACAAATGAAGGGCATTTGTTCTAAGTCTTTTCGGTTAGAAGGTAAGACTTGCAAAAAAAAACAAAAAAAACTAACCTAGAATGCAGGAAGGTATTAAGTAAATAATGGAGAGGTTTGATTCTTAAACACATCCCTTAATCATGACGGTGAGTTGTATGTATCCACATGTGTGTTTATACAGAGAAAGAAGAAGGGTGAGAGAACAGAATTCTTGCTTTGCCAATTGTAATGATGATAATGATGATGATGATGATGAAATGAACACTTTACCTAGAATCCTAAGCAAACAAACTTTTCTTTTTTCATTTTCAGATTGTGTTCTTACATAATGATAGATACATTGAATTTCATTCACAATCAGGTTTCTACTATAAAACCAGAATACCAAAGTTCGGGAGAGATTTCTCTTACCATTATCCATCCTGTGACTTGTACTTTGTTGGCGCAAGGTATTGGTCTAATCACCCCTTGTTTTTTCCTTTCAACTTCCCCAAGCAACTTCTGTTCTTAAAATAGAGGAGAGGGATTAAGAGAAGAGTCAGACATTATTATCCCTGCCTTTTGGTTGCTCAAAGGATGTTGTTCAAAGTGATTGGCTCATTTAGGAATTACATCATTGATTTATAATAGCATGGTAGTATAAATCTGGAGAGACGTGGGTAACCTAATAGGGTAACGATGGTGTGAAGTCAGTATCTTAGCCTCATTGCATGCATTTTAAAACTTTTTATTCTTAAATGCTGCCTTCTTTATAAAAATACTACATACCCATTTTAGAAAATTGGGAAAAAGTAAAGTATAAAGAAGAAAAGAATTACCCATGATTATGCCACCCAGAGGAAACCCTTGTTAATATTTTGTTATTTCCTTATAGTCTTTTCTTACATACACGTATAGATACATTTTGGATCCTGTATTTTCTGTGTTGTTTGTAAATAATATTCTACTTAATTACTTCATAATATTTCCTTGACACGTGGGTGGTTTAAATCACTTTTATGCATGAATAGACTCATAAACGAGATAATTGAATTTTAGGTTTAGAATACATTCTTGTTACCAGTTTTACAAAGGGAAGTGATGCTTTATGACAGACACATATTTTGAAAAATTATATTTAGTTGAAGAAAAGTTCATTGTCATTTACTGGATTTTTAACTTTATTAATTGTTTTGCAGCTCTGAAGTTTATAGGTTAAACTTGGAGCAAGGACGGTACCTGAATCCTCTGCAAACTGATGCTGCGTAAGTATTTTGTTTTAAGAAAACTGCTGTGTTTATTTTGGCCAGGAGATGGAGCCAGATGCCCAAGCTGTTGTCAGATAATGTGCATTTCAGCAGAGCTCTGGGCAACTTAGGTAAAAGAGTAACACTGAACTTTTTCTTATACAAAAAATTCACTGAAAGACCTGGTGATGTCTTAAAATTTAAAACAGAAGTTTTTTTTTAGTATCTGTGAAAAATTTTAAACTCACCCCCAAAGTTTAACTTGTTACTATTTTTTTGCAGTCTTTAAATTTTCATTCGTAATTTAGTTTTATGATATTTTCTTTAGTGGAGAAATTTTGAATTAACTTAAAGTACCATCTTTTAATTTTTTATATTTTTGCTAGTGGACATTTAAGGTTTTTTCGGGTTTTCCTTTTATCATATGTAATAGTCTATACTTTAGTTTTATTCAGAGAAATCCTTCAGGAATGGCTCTGTCATAATATTATTGCTGAGTAATAGCAACAAGAGCAGTGGTTGTTGAAAGCACTTACTATGTGGCAGGCAGTATTCAGTATTTTATATATATTAGCTCATTTTAATCTTAGAACAAGTTACAGTTGGTACTATTATTATCTCCATCTTACAGATAGGACAGCTGAGGCCCAGAGAGGGTGAGTAGCTTGTTCAAGGTCACACAGCTTATATAGAGTGGAAGCTGGGTTATTTCTCATCTGTGTATTTGAAGAGCTTGTTGGTTTTTCCTTGCTGCTTTGAAAGGGATTTTTAAAGATTGGAGGAATAGGTAGTGATAAAAATGAGGTAAAGTCTTGGTTTTTTATTGTTTGTTTGTTTTTTCACGTTGGCTTGAAATACTGTCATTTTCTTTAAAAAAAAATGACAGTAACTTCATGATGCATCATTGAATAATAAAAAGTTAGCTGCTCTTTAGCTGCAGAATTTCCTGTTTATAGTAACAGCTTTTATTTATTGTCTTGTAAACTTTAGATGCTGTGCTGAACATTTTGTCATTTTTCCGTTTAATCCTCACAATGACCATATGAGATTGGTAAAATACCAGTCTGCAGAAAAAGAAAATGAGCTTAGGTCAGTGTACTCCCCTCAAGCTGGTCACGTCTCAGGACTGGTGTAGTGACAGCCTGTGCTCTCTTTGTCTTGGGAGAAAATATATTGAGAAGTTTATTCTCATGGTGGTGGAATAGTATTTCTGAAGAAAGTCCTTCCTTGTCTCATCCCCCAACAGATAGAGTGTTACCCTGCAGGCCTGAAGCTCCTGTGACTGTGTACCAGGCACTTAACCCTTTGATGCCTCGATGTTTTTCATAGGCTGATGAGTGAGAAGGAATCTGCATGTCTTTCTCCACAGAACTGGGTTGACCGTTTCTTTAGAAAGTTTACTGAGTACCCCTCCCCCTAAAGTAGGTGCTGATCCTTTCCCTCCTTGCTTTACTATTGTAGGGAGAATAATGTTTGTGACATAAATTCAGTGCATGGCTTATTTGCCACGGGAACAATAGAGGTAAGCATACATTGACTTTTTTTTTTTAATATTTGCTCTACATCTGATAACCAGTGCAGTTTTATTTAAAGACAGGGTTGCTTGGTTCCCAGGAGCAGGGTGCTGATGAAGCAACAAGTCTCTGGTTTGCTTTCCATGTGGTCCCACGGAGACGCGGCTGTTCGCCACTGCAGGCCGTGCCCCTTACGCTCCGGTTCGGCCTGCTTTGGCGCTGACCATCGGGAGCTGGGTGCGAAGTCGCTGCTGGATTGCCTGCTCCCGGGGGTAGCGTGACAGCCACCCTCGTTCATCCTTGGCCAGTATGTTGTGGAGTCCCAGCTCCCTGCTGCTTATTAATTTATGACTGAATTACTTTCCCTGAGGCTTATTTCTCTCACTGGTGAAATGGAGATAGTAACACTTAGCTTGCCAACTTTATAGAGGTGCGGGTGAGGGTCCCATGAAACAACCTGCATGAAAACATGACCAACTGTAGAGATGTATAGGGTCGTGTTCTGCGCATCCTGTATAGGAGCATTCAGTAAATATGCATTTTCTTTTTAAACTGCAGTACCTTTGAACCAGTGTCCTTCATACTTGTCAACAGTTTTTCTAGATTTGCATGTTTTAATTACAACACTGTTAAATACTCATGGTAGAAAACAAAGGATAAATGTGTCAAAAAAAAAAAAAGAATAATTAAAAAAGTGCCCTAAGTGCCTTCCGGTCACCTAATCCTACAGCCAGAGGGAACTCTTGAATGGCTTGCAGTGTTCTCTCTTTCTTGTTTTTCTGTGTCTGTGCAGGTATGTGTATGTGTTAATGATATGTTTTTTTAAAAGCTTTTCACAAAATTAAAATTATATTATACCGTGGTTCTTCTTTTGCTTTATTTGAAAAAATAGAATGGCATATAATGTACATCTGTATACATTGGTACTTCTAATCACTACAAAGTTAAACTTATTTTTTTAAACTGATGGATAGGATCCCATTGTTTGAATGTACTGCAGTTTATTAAACTAGTCCGTAAGGAGGAAGTTTAGGTTTTCTTTATTCAGATTATTTTTATTTGAAAAGAGTAAGATTTGAAATGGGACATGAGGTTGATTTGATGGAAATGCATAAACCACGTTGATTGTGTTATAATACTGTCATGCCCAAGTCAGGCCATTGAAACATTATCTTGCTAATTACTTCTCCTGGGATTATGAAGGAGAAATTTTAAAATAATTTTCTTGAAAAAAAATAGTTTTTTTATTGAATAGAGTCCCTAACAGAGCAAGCTGGGCTGTATACCAGGAAACATGCTCTGTAAGAAAAGTTCGGTTTGAAAAGGCTGCTCTTTCACCAGCTGTTTTAAGACCAGCCCTGAGACATGTCAGTCGGGGGCAGACCCCCCAGCCCAAAGGCTGGGTTCCTGAAATTCCTTGATTATTAGGGGCTTGAAATTTGGTATGTATTGTCAGACCAGACTTTAAAACTTCATTTTTAATTAATTTTTATTTTATATGTTGGGTTTTGATTTCTTCTGTGACAGTTATTGTGATACATATATTAAATATTTAATATTGATACAGTAATACTTGCTTATTTAAATTTTCCCATTTATATCAAAATATCTTTCATAACTCCTCCCTATTCCACCCCACCAGCCAAATCAAGGTCCAGTCAGGGGTGGTCCATCACATTTTAGCTGTTTTTTCTTAGCTATTCTTTTTTTCTTTTTTCTATTTTTAATTATAAAAGAAATGCAACTCATGATGAAACGTTCAGCAGTTCTAAAAAAGGGTATACGTAAAAAGTTAAATTCTTATTCCCCAGGAGATAATCAGTGTTAATAAGGCTTTTTTTGTTGTTGTTATTTGTCAAAAAAATTTTCTAGTAGCAGCTATTATTTAAAATTACTGGGTTTTTTAATTTAGGGTCGAGTAGAGTGCTGGGACCCGAGAACGCGTGGTAGAGTTGGCCTGCTAGACTGCGCGTTAAGTAGCGTCACAGCTGATTCAGAGTAAGTAGAATTGAATTTGCAGTTCAAATATTCATCAGCTTCTGATTTAAACAAATGTCTCACTACTAAACTAAAATCAGTTGCTGAAGAATGAGACTCTCAAGACATATCTATCTGAGATTGTGATTTTGTGATTGTTTTATGTAAAAATCCTTTCCTGTAAAAGCTCACTAAGTGGCTAAGCCAGTTGGAATTCCTTTCTGAAGTACTATGTAGAATGCCTTATTTATTTAGTTGCCGTGTCATTTTGTTAAAACAAACACACTGCAGGAACTTTTATTTCCAATTCTGTAGGATCTGGTGATGGAACCAGAAGTCCACCACTCCAGTTAACAGGCAGAAATACGTGCTTTGAATTTTGAGGTGGAGGGAAGCAATGTTTTTTTGATTTTTTTTTTGTTCCTGTTTGCTGATATCTACGTTTAAAACAATTGGAAAAGTAATTCACACTTGAGGGATGAAAACGTCTAGATGCTTGAATTAAGTAAGACGTATAAGCGCCTCTCCTTTCTCCACTCACCAGAGTATAGTAACTCTTGCACCTGTGGTACATATGTTTTCAGATATTTTTATATGCTCATATTAATACAAATACGGATTTATCACTCTCTTGTCGGGTCCTTGGCATAGAATTAGTTGCTGTAATCAGCTCAGGAATGCCTTTTCTCTGGGGTCTTGATAGTCAGGGAAGTGTCATTTTACTAGTATGAAATCAGGACTGTTGTCCACTTCTGACTTGTCATGCAGGACCCTTTCCACTGCAGAGCATTGCTTTTGGTGCTGATACTCTTGGTTACTGAGTCAGAAGCATATTCCAAATACATAGCCATGAACATCCATCATTTTGTTACGTTTAGAGGTTCTAGCTCCCCATTTGGGGACTAGTTTTTATTTCAGCTTGACATAGCTGACTTTAGAAATGAAAATGGATATACCCATGCCTGAACATAAAATTATTTCCTCTTAAGCAAAAAAGGAGATGTTTCTGTAAATACCTTATCCTGGCTTAAATCACAATGAAAGATATTGTCATAGTGATCCTTTCCCATTGGTTTTATATTTTCAGAACTTTTTTTTTATTTGTAGCTACTTTGAGAATACTTCTTACAGTTTTTAAAGACGATCATATACAGATTTTAAAGGTAGCTTATATTTATAAGTAATGGTTATTTTTTATTTTAAGAAATTTCGGATACAATTACCTTCAAATAGAAGACTAGAAATGTGATTTTCCCCATTATAACTGAATAGTAATAACGAATTTGTTACTTGGAAGGAGGTTTGGCCATATATGCATGGAACACAAATATTTTGGTTTTCAGGATCAACAGTTTACCAACGATCTCTGCTTTGAAGTTTAACGGTGCCTTGACCATGGCGGTTGGAACATCCACGGGGCAGGTAAATATGTTTAAGTTGGAAACTTCACACTTAAGTTACTATTTCAGAGGCGTGTATGTATCATGGGAAGCATCCACATACCTGTTCACTGTGGAAACAGAAAATGAGACGTTACTGTTTTGGCTGGAGTAGAGCGGATACTTCAGAATGCTGTGTTCTTTCAGTACCTTGAGAAATCTGGTTCTGGCCTGATGGTTGATCTGAGAGGCTCTCAAGCTGGAGCTGCAGTGGCATATGCCTCAAATGTTCTCTTGAGTGTGGTCTGGAACAGTTTCCTAGAGTGTATGGAACAGAGAGAGTTCTATGGTCAAACAAGTTTGGAATTCTGTCAGATTCCTGTCCTTCGAGATTTACAGTGCATTTAAATATATATTGAAGGCTCTGAGAATTCCTGTAGACAGGAAATGTGTTCAATAAGTATTTCCGAAACTTATTTATCAAAGGGACCTTTGTTTTCACCTACTACTCAGTATTCAGCACATCCTATACAGTGAGCGGTCAGTGGACCATACCTCGGCATTTGCATCTTCAGCATCTAAGGAGTCAAATGAAATAGCTTCAGAGATTTAATTTCACCTTTTCCCTCCCCTTCACGGCAGAGCCCACGCACTTGTAAGTTTGTTCTGACCTCAGCACAGGTGTGAGCCCTGCTTCCAGTAGAGTTGCTACCTCTGTCATCAGGGCCTAGAGAGGATCTGTCACCTGGGACTAAGTTCCAGCTTCACCAGGCCCCTTGCCTGTCGTAACAGGGCTCGGAGCCTTGCCTCCACCATCTGTCTTGAATCTGCCAGGACTACCTTCATTCTTGGTTCTGTCAGTAGCTGTGACAGTGCCTGGTACATAGGAGGCCCTCAGGGTATATGTTTGTTGAATTCACAAATGATATAAATTCTTGTGGACTTTCCCTTTTGGTTCCTTTCTTAGTGTATCTAAGTAGTTCTCAATCTTAGTGTGCCTAGAAATTACTCTGGGGTTGAATTCATAAAACCATGTATTGTGAGGGTAATTTAAGAGATTTTTCTGGAGTATTTTTGCTGTTTGACTTTAGAATTTTTGTTCCCTGAGTAAAGGTGTTCTTTGTGTTGATAAAAAGGTAATGAAACATATAGCAGCCATTATTCTAAGTTTTAAAAGTTTCTTTTTAAGATAAAATATTTAGTTTGCTTAAACAGAAATAACTCTTTTTTTCCCCCTTTAGGTTTTATTGTATGATCTTCGGTCTGATAAGCCATTGCTAGTTAAGGACCACCAGTATGGGCTGCCCATTAAGTCAATTCATTTTCAGGATTCCTTAGATTTGATTTTGTCTGCTGACTCCAGAATTGTCAAAATGTGGAATAAGAACTCAGTATGTATTTTTTGTTGTTGTTAAAATTACTTATTTGCATATTTTCCTAATTTTTTTTCTTTTTTTTTAATTGAAGAATAGTCAGTTTACAATGTGTCAATTTCTGGTGTACATCATAAAGTTTCAGTCACCCATGTACATGCATATATTTGTTTTCATATTCTTTTTATTCTAGGTTACTGCAAGATATTAGAGTCCCCTCTGCTCTACAGAAAAAACTTGTTTATCTACCTAATGTTTCTTTTCTTTCTGTTGCCTGTTTTGAGTTATGTGGGTTCTTGAGAAAGAAATACTGGGTATCCATTTGGGAACTTAGTTGGAAGTTAGGTACTTCAGGATAGATAACACTCATATTCAAAGTAGTCAAGATTGTTTTCTTCCTGTTAAGACATTTTCCTGATTTGCTAAAACTGACATTCACTTTGACATGTTCAGTTAAGTAAGAAAGTAAATCATTGTTTAAAAAATTGATCTGTAAGAAACCCCTAGACCTTGAGGCTCTCTTACAACCTTAGGAAAGTTTTATAAGCCACTGCTGTTTCCATATCAGTATTATTATACACCTCAATTTCACACCGTTTCCCCATTGCAAACAATTGGATTTTAGATATGATACCTTTACAATAATTTAGTGTTTTTCTTAAAAACAATATTTTTTAAGAGTAATTGATATTCTCTCCCCTTATGAAGTGTCCTTGAAAAAAGTAACAAAACCCTGTGCTGCTGACTTAATCTGCCTCTGCTTTTCCTTTTTCATTTGTTGATTACAAACTTAGCATCCTTAGTCAAAAAGTGTCACTTTTTAATATTCACTTTTGAGATGAAGTGGGTGGGGCGTCCAGCAGCCTCAGCACTGGTCACCAGAGGGCGAGCGTCAGTCTTCCCTGGGGTTGGGGGTGGGTAGAGTGTAGGCTCCTGTGCTCAGGGTGGAGATGCTGGCGACAGCCCCGTCATGGGTCAACCGCTGATCAGAATCCCTGGCTGCTTGGACCATTACTTTTTTTTTTTTTTTAACATTTTTGTTGAGTTTTAGTCATTTTACAGTGCTGATTCAAATTCCAGTGTAGAGCATACTTTTTCAGTTATACGTGAACATACATATATTCATTGTCACTTTTCTTTTTTGCTGTGAGCTACCACAAGACCTTTGGACCATTACTTTTGTTCTTAATTTTCATTTTGTTAACTCTCTTTGTATTACCCTTACTTCACGCCCTATCCTTTTCCCTCTGGATCTGTTGTGGAGATTCAGAGTTGTCCTTGGGGTGTGTGCTGTCTCTCAAGCCGTGTTTCCTTCATAGCTCCTGTGACAGTTTGTGTTAGGGAGCAGAGGGAGGGCTCTCACCTTTCCTCAGTTCTTCGAAGAATTACCCTGATGATCAGTCGCCCAGGAACTGACTTTGCTCCTTTGAGCTGGGAGGGTTCTGAGGGCTTTCTTAAGAAGATTCATGTGTCTTAGGCTCAAATTTTCTCAGCTGTTTTCTGATAATCCGAACTAATGTAATTTAAAACTATTTTTTGTAATACTACAAATAAAGACATTTTGTTTTTGAAAGTTCATAACATACTGATAAAGTAGAAGTTGTCCTTGACCTGGCTTCCATCCTGCCCAGAGGTCGTGACTTATTAGTGTGGATGTATCCTCCCAAGCCCTCTACCTGCTGCGTAGTTTTCCATAACGTGGATTTCTCTGAACTGTGGCACCTTTACTTTTTTCTTCCATGCTGTTATTATTATTTCCTTTCCCCCTTCCTTTCTTTTCCCTCTTCCATTTTTTGTTTCAGTGAGAACTTGAGTTGAGAAGGAGGTAGCTGTGTGAGTTGCAGTGTTTGTTGTGAATTAGAATCTGGCTGCTGTTTTTCATTGAGCATGAAATTCGTTTTTTTAACTATTCCCCTCCTTTACCATGGAGCCTCTAATAATGAGGAGCCTCTAATAAGTGCAAGACCTGGCAGACATTTTCAGCATGAGTTCTTGAAATCATGTTGTAGTTGCCACAGTAAGTTGCATTTTGGCGCTGTTGTAATGACTAAATACGCCCTTCTGACCAACACCCAGATTACTTGGTTTTGCTTGACTTCCTTCCCATGTTTATCTTTCTCATCACCTTTTTCCATTTCCATCTTCTCATCTTCTTTTTTATTTTACTTAACTTCTCTTAATTTTTAAAAATATAGCCCACTTCCCCCCACATTTAAAGCAAAAATATGTTAGCCTCCTCTGTGTAACAACTAACACTTCCTGTATTTGTAGGACTTTGTTTTCTATGTTCGTTATCTTATTTGCTCCCTCAGATCCTCGCTACCTAGGGATGGTGGATACGGTCTTCATCTTACCATGCTGAGCATCTTTTTTGGTTTCTTTGAGGACAAGTTTAACTAGAATGTATTTTCCAGATTATGAGAATTTTTTTTAAGTTGATGTACAACTTTACTTTAAACTTTACCCTTTCCACTTGTGTAGACACTATCGTTAAAAGTTGGTATTTATTTTTTTTGGATAAGTCACCTTTCCCCCTTGAGCCTCAGTTTCTTTGTCTCTAAAACAGAGAATTTAATAAACTGATACAACGAATTCCCTTAAGAATCTTTTTAGAGTCTATGATTTCAGTTGGTTAATTTTATTTTTTCCCATAAGCGGGATGTAGTGGCGTTATGCCTCCAGTTTATTGTCTGTATATCACATTGCTGAAAGTTGTCTTCCTTCAACTGTTTTCTTTTTTTCCTTTAACTATTTTAATAATTCCTTTTCGCTTACTGTTTTAGGGAAAAATATTTACCTCCTTGGAGCCGGAACATGACCTTAATGATGTCTGCCTTTACCCCAACTCAGGTATGCATGCATAGCAACGGGCCGTTCAGTGACAGAAACCTGCAGTACACTTTACTGGGGCTTAAACTCATTTTATTTCTCAAGATGGGTTTTGGCTTGGTTAGGACAATTCTTGGATATTGTATTTACCTGAAAAATTAAGAACAGGAAGTGGTGTGGATGATTCAGAAAATGACACTCAGTGACTCAGTCGTCAGCCTGCCTAGCAATTAGTAGGAGCTGGTTAGAGTCTGTGGGTCGGTGGCAGGTGAGGTGCTATTTTGGTGTGCACTTTAGCTCTTTTACATGATTAGTAATTGTGAGTGGAAGTTGACGTTCGGGATTTGGAGAAGGCTGGAGTTGCCTGATGATACACAAGGCGTAGTATGAAGCCACGGGTTTGGTGTATTCTATGTTGTATGCTTTCAGTAAATGACATGGCAGGTTTCAGGGTTTAACGATACCTTCCAGGCAAGTCCGTACAGAATTTGGGGGGATAAGAGAAAATGAGGACAGTTTCCACTCTTAGGCAGAGTTGTACTCTGAGTACAGATGAGCACGGATAATTTTGATAGACGGACACAAGGCAAAGCAAGGAAAGCTCTATCATGTTCGTACGCACAGAACTGAGATGCATGAGAGAGAGAGGGAGGGGGTTCAGCCAAAGCCATGAGAGGTGAGCGTAGAGGAGGCCTTTGCCCTGGGTTTGGAGCACCAGGTGAGATGTAGTCGGTGGAGTTGGGAGTGGTCCACGTGAGGGAACAGTGTGAGAAGGATGGGACAGGATGCAGCGCCATACATGGGGCTCATTTGAGGGAGCAGAGGAGCCTCGTGTGCTGGTGCCAGGGCGGCTCTGGGAGGAGTGGGGGGCCGCAGTGGGTGCACAGGCTGCGAGGTCTGGAAACGGCCCACTGAACAGCTTGGCTCTGTGTGTGGTCAGGACCCGCTCAGACTGTGCTTTCAGAAGGCAGTTCTGCTCACCGTGTAAAAGGCAGGTCACTCTTGAACTAAAATGAGTAGGAAGTGACACTTTGAACTGAGATTGGGAGCACAGGGGAGAGAGCAAATTTGGAGAGAAAGAATATATTTTCTTGGAACATTTGAATATGAGGAGGCAGTGGGGCAGTGGCAGGGTCTGGCAGAGAGCCTTAAACCTGGCTGCCCACCAGCTTCACCTGGGAGCTTTTTAAAAAGTACAGATTCCTTGGCCCCGTACCAGCTGTACTGACTCAGAGTGTCCAGGGGGAGTGTTATTTATAAAAGGCATCCCAAGTGATTGTGAATCCCTGCCCTGCCCCACAGCTTTACCCTGGGAGCCGCGTCCAGTGCACAGTGGAAAGGGTGGTCTCCAGAAAAGCAGGTCTGCAGACACAAAGTTTTAAGGCATGTAAATAGAGGTTATCGCAGAAGTGAAGGTTATCGCAGGGAGTGAAGGAGGTTAGCGGTGGGAAAAGTGTGGAGAAACAAGAAGAGAGCAGGACCTGAGCCCGCTCAGAGGGAGATGAGAAGGAAGAGCCAGCCAAGATGCTTCATACGAGTAGACAGGGTGAAGGTACAGGAACCAACAGTTGCCAAAGAGAGAAGCTGAGATGGGAGCGATTCTTTGGGTATTGCTCAGCGAGTATGAGTATCATGGACGTGGAGGCAGGAAGGAAAGAGCTCAGTTATTTAATGGTCTAAGTGATGGATGCTGTAATCTTAATTTTTCATTTCATCTTTTTATAACCCTGTATTGTTAGTAGTACATCTTTCCCTCCCCTCCCCCTCTCTACTCACTTCCCTCCCCTTCCCTTCCCCTCACTTCCCTCCCCTCTCCTTTCCTCCCCTCCCCTCCCTACCCATCTTTCTTACATCTTAAGAGATGGGAAAAGTGACTTATTTGCCCAGAGCTGGCCTCGCAGCCGGCGTGTGGCAGTCTTGGTTAGAGCCAGCCGTTCCTGATTCCGGAGCCCGTGCTCTTTCTAACTACGCAGTACTCTCTGGAGAACGATAAGAAACTCTGGATCCTTGTCATTAGCTTTTCATCTGTGACAGTTGGGAACATTTTATTGTAACAGTGGAGGTGAGTCAAATCATGATGAGTTCAGGAATTAATTGCAGGTGAGGATGCTAGGGTTCTAGTTCTAGAGAATTGAATGGTCTAAAATGGGGTCTGGGCCAAGTACAAAGATGAGTAAAACCAGGTGAAGTTGCAGTTGGAACAAGAGTTTGGCTGGATTGAGGGAGAGTTTGAAGGGTGCAGATAATGATCAGAGAAAGAAGTTCTCGACCTGTTTGGGGCCACCAGCCACATGTGGCCACTGAGAACTTGCAGTGTGACTCATCGGAATTGAAATGTGCTCTAAGTACAGAATACACATCAGATTTCAAAGACACTGAAAACAAAATGAAGTAGATCATTAATTTTTTATATTAGTTACATATTGAAATGAAGATATTTTGGACTATAATAAATATATTTATTATATTTATATTAATACAATAAATATATTTTAATATATTTATTATATTTATATTAATATAATAAATATATTAAAATTAATTTTACCTGTTAAAAAATTTTAATGTGTCTATTAGGAAATTTTAAGTCACATATGTGGCTTGTATGATGTTTCTTTTTGGCAGCGCTGGTCTAGACTTGGAGATGTTTAACAGCTTAGGATGCAGATTAAAAGTCAGCCACAGGCAGAGTGGAGCTTCATCTCCACCAGGTGCCGCTTTAATCTCACCGGAGGAGAGACGTTCTTCTAGTATCAAAAATGCTTTTATCCCACCTAATAGGAAAACAGTCATCCTCTAGTCTTACCTTTCATTCAGTCCATTTTCAGATTTCCCTGATTGTCCCCTAGATGCCTTTTTTCGTCCATTTTTTGGAATTAGGCTATAACCAAGGTTGTGTATTACATTTAGTTGTTGTGTCTTTTGTTTCTTTCAATCCAGAATAGTCCCCCATCCTTTTTTCCCCCTCTCCTTCATGGCAGAGTTTTCCAAGATCAGGTCTATAGTCTCGTAGGATGTCCCATGGATTTCTGTGATTGTTTTCCATGGTGGTTTAACTTGTTCCTCCAGCCTCTGTATTTTTCCAGAGTAGAAGTTAAATCTAATGCCCAGTGCACCGTAGGTTACATATTTTGGCCAGAAGTGGTGCACAGGGCTGCTGGGCTCTCCGCATCAGGTCGCATCGGTCATCCCAGGGCCAGGGAGGAGTGTGGTCGCTGTTTAGGTGACCACCAGAGAGCTCTTCGTTCCAAGGTTCACTTTTCTGGAAGGTGGAAATTTTAAGGGTGATGTTTTGGACAGAGGAGTGACTTTACTGTCAAATAACTTATACGAAGTTAATCAAACATAAAAACTTGCTCAAGGTTTATTTCGTGAGACAGCGAGCCCAGTAAAGCAAGCCCCTCCACTGCTGCTTCGGGCTTTGGAGCCGAGCGCGGCTGCTTGGCGTGCTCTGCTGTCTTCCCCTTGCTTCCTGCTCCTTTCCCTCTGACACTGGCTGCCCTTTAGGGTTTTCACTTAATCACTAGGAGCTTAATCATATTTTAGAAAAGCTAAAACGTTCTTTTTTTATTTTCTCACTTACTCATTTTGGAGTAATTAAAGACAAATCACAATGACTGTTCTGTCATGTTTTTCTGATACTAAGACTGCTCAGAACATTGAGAAATGGTTCCGCCTTCCCAGCTCCTTTCAGCTCCTGCTTTTTTTGCTCAGTCAGCCTTCTCCACATCGGGCAGCCAGGTCCGGGCGCTGCGGGAGGCCCAGCCTGCCCGAGGTGCTTGGGGAGCCCCCCTGAGACCCGGGGAATCAGCATCACTGGTCTCAGAACCACCGGGAGCGGGAGATTTCTGTTCAGAAAGACCTAACTCAGGCTTCATAATTATACCCAGCCTGCTTCTCACCCGCCTTCTGCTGCTGCTGGCTGCTGTCTGGACTGTGAGATGTGATGTAGCCTTCTATTCTCTGTCCATCACCTCTCAGTACAGAGAGAAAGCTTTTCCATCATCTGTAAATATCCTTGGCTCCCTCTGTAGTAAAATCACACGCTCCACACTTACATCAGGAGTTGACCACGTGGGAAGCAATATCCTGTCCCCCCAGCACAGGGCTGTTCTCATAGCTTGTCTGCTCTGAGTTGCTCGAGGCTGTGACCTGATGCCGTAGGGTTTTCCTACAGAGCTTCTCAGATGTGTCTGGTGAGGGACCAGGGTTTTGTTTTTTGTTTTGTCTTTAAATTTCCAATCTATTGCAGATTGATACTTGTGTAAAATATAATAAAAGTGAATTACTAGGAAAAGGGTCACTCATTTGCATCTCGCTGCAATGTCAGATTGCTGTACAGGGTTCTACATACACTCTTCCTTTCAGTTTCTACACTTATCTCCCAGCTCGATGGCATTTCTCAGACTGGCCCTGGGAGCACACTTCGGCAGAGAGCCTTGTTCCTTCTTTTCAAGTGTGACCTTCAATGAGTCCTTTAGCCTCCGAAGCACATGCAGGCGAGACTTGTTCCGTGCATGTTTCTGTTTCTGGGGTGATGGTGGTGGGGGGCACTGTGGCTGCACCAGACAGCACAGCGCCTCCTGGGCGCTGCTGTTCCACACCACAGTGTGTTCTCTTGACTCCCAGTGCTGATGACCTTTGCCTTCTCTTTCACAGTTCATATTTTTATTGTTGAAACCACAATAAATATCAGCATAAAGGAAATTTAAAGGGAAAAAGCCGCAGTTCTAGAGTCTCTTCACAAGTATTACTCTTTTCGTTAGAGAAGTTGTTTTAATTATGTGTTCATGTGTTTTAGATTGTTGTCCTCACACCATACATATGTATAATGTCTTTTGGTTTTTAGCTTGACATTATATTAAAAGCATTTTTCATGTTGCTTTTTGGTCTTTATATTTGTGCTTTTAAATGGTTTATTTGATTGTGCATGAAGCCTTTTCATTCTGTCTCCTCTGTTACTGGAGTTTCGGAGCCTGTATTACGTGGGCTTTGGAGTCGAAATATCAGCTACTCGACTTACTAGTTGTGTGGTGACCTTGAGCAAATGATCTGACTTTCTGGGGCTCCTTTCTTGTCTCTGGATGTAACATGCCAGCACAGTTACTTCACAGTCTCCTCCTGTGCCTGCGATCATCTTAATTTCTGCTGAACTAACTCTTTCACCGGTTTGATTTTCCAGCTTCTTTCTTGTTAGGAACTTCTCACACTCCTTGGGCTTTGTGAGGTTGTTTGTTTCTCTCATTTATAGTTGGTTTCAATCCTGACCTTCCCTGCTGTAGTTTGGTCGTAGGCCAGCCTGTGTCATTGTCCATGTGTGGCCAGCGGCTATCCTGCTCCATTGTAGAAAACAGTCTGCTGCACCCAGTCTGAATTCTCCTGTGTAATTAGATTAGAGCCTTTTCTGTCGGTTTGATGGGTTCGGTCATGTTTCCTCGTGGAACGCTCACTGCTCAGTGTTCAGGACTGAGCCTCTGAAGCCGAGCTTAGGGGGTGTCTTTGGCAGAAACCTTCTTTTTGGGGGTACTCTGTCTCTTCAGTCCCTAGAATTTCTTTAATCACGTGCAGAGGTCTAGGAGGAGTTCTGGCAGTGTCGTTAGGGAAACTTGGGAACACATGTCAGTACAAGTTGTTTCTTCCCATCATGGCCTCTGAGCATTTGTTTCCAGGGTCATCAAAAGTGTCCAGGGGAGAGATTTTATAGAGGCCACAAGCTATGAAAATGTCTCTGATTTTTTCTTTTTTTTGCTTTAGTTTAGATATACATTCTTACTTTCCTCGACTTCACTATCGGCTGTATGTATTTTGGTGAAGGTTGGTCCCAGTTAAGGGCTCGCTCCCACTTCGGAGCTGATGTGCACAACGTGGTTCTGCTGAGGGAGCATTGATTTCCTGCTTTCTGGTTATTAGTTGCCCTCGTCTATCTCAGCGTTTTATTTCCGTAACAGCATTAAATATCATCACTTTTGCAAGCTTTTGCTTTAACAGAGGAGCAGCAAAAAGTACTTTTAAATCACAGAATCAAATCATTGTTCTTAACATTTAGTATATTTAACTATGATTATATGGTCTCATAATCCAAATGTCTTCCCTCTGTGGATTCTTCTATTGTATTTTACAAATAGATTTTAAAAATAAATAAAATTGGGTTGATATGTAAAGGTACTTAAAAACAAAAGCTCTTCAGTTTGAATTATGGCTCTAAAATTTTCTAGCTTGTGATGGGACCCTCAGTACATTTGAGCTTTATCTTTTTGATCTACAAAATAAGAATATTTCTTACTTCAGAGAGTTGTTGCGTGTTCACTAAAGTAAAATATGTGAAAGTGTTTAGTAAATGATAATGGACTCTTCAAATGGTTGCTGGTTTCAGTGTTGTTTAAAGTGCATCAGTCTGGAACGGGCTGTGAGGATTGGAGCTGCTTTCGGAGACTTTAGGAGAGGAGTGGCTTGCACACATGACACAAAACTGAGAACAAAACCGAGATATCTGAATACTCTGGTTCTGTACCAACGAATAATGGATTCATATGTTCTGTTGCTACTGGGGTTAAAAGGAAACCATTACTGAATGCCACAAATTTGCCCTTTACTTCATTTTTACTTTCTTAAAATGCCGATCCCCAGACTGAATTACTAACCACTCTTTTGGTTGAATCTGTTAAAGTTCCCTTGTGACTGATTCATTTTGGTATAGTAAGGGCTGTTAGATTCTTTACAGGTCTTTTGTAGTGTAGTTACACACATGTAGCCTTCCCTTTAAGTCGTTTTGTTTTCTATCAGGGTGTAAAGTTTAATTCAAACATTAGAAACTAGTTTGCTGTGACATTTTGTGGGAAATACTTTACCTTGGTTCTTTAATTCCTGATTAACAGAAAGAAGGCTTTCTTTCTTAACTTCCTTATTTTTATTATAATAAATAGTGCATCAAAACTATATTTATGATTCTGAAGCATAAAACTTTCCCTCTTAAAAATGATGGCAAACTTTATATAGACCCGAGCACTTCCTGGTGGGAACCGCCCAGTTACTTAGCTATTACCCCCTGAGCATTTTGCAGATTGGGAAGCTGGTCTTTCTGATACTTTAGGTGCCTCGCCTAGGAGGATCAGGGACTGAAGCCCGCAACCCGACCCCTAGGGTGCCTGGCTGCTAGCCTGGGTCTTCTGCCTTATACTGTGTTCTCAGCACCTCATGCATTTCAGAATGTAAAACATGTAGAAAAGGGTACTTTTCTTTCCCCATGTGTTTACTGTTTTCACTGTGTTTATTTTTAGGAATGCTTCTTACCGCCAATGAAACTCCCAAGATGGGCATCTATTACATTCCAGTAAGTAATACAAAAAGGAGTTATGATAAAAATAGAACAAGCAAAGACACTATATTTTTAAACTGGCTGCATTGAGGGACTCTGGGTCTGCATGTGGCTATGTAAGTTAGACACAGTGGTTCACTTGTAAATTCACTTTGCTTCCAGGAGGCAGTAAAATAATGCTTGACTGTTCTTTTATGGAAAACTACTTAATATCCCATTAAATTTTGATTGTAGAAATTCATCTTTATTCTTCAGGGTTACATTTTTTTGTTTGTTTATTTCAAAGGGTTTCAGAGTCTTAAACTTACAGCTACTAGTGATCAAGGGATCTAGCCCTCTTAAATAAAAGTCTAGTACTTCCCCAGTCATCTCATTGTAGTTTATTTCTTATAAAAATAAACTACATATGAAAGAATCTGTTAGATTGCCACGATCGGTGATGATGTGCCATTTACAGTCCTGTCCCTTTTTTTCTTTCTTAAAGAATTCTTCTCTTGTATGTCAAAAGCTTCCCTACCTTTACCTAAACAGAAAAGCACACAGTGCAAAGTTGGCATTAGATTACAGTCAGCAGACATCTCCATTTTCAAGGATTTGGGGAAAAAGGGTAAGAGGTGTGGGTGGTGAAGAGCAGAACTTCAGGGAGGTGAGCTCTCTGTAATCACCGTTAGCCTCCAGCTATGAAAATGCTTCATATTTATGATAGCTCGACCATGTGTGTATTTCCAAAAAGTATTCTTGTTGCTGTTGACTTTCTGTGGTTTCAGGAACCTGATAATGTTGTTGAAAGCACTTTGAGATGTTTCTTCTGGTTGATAGTGAAATGAAGGCCATTCAAACAGCAGCTTTTCCGTTTTTCTAAATTGTCCTTTTTTCCCTTTTTCCTCGGAGTCTCACAGATACCACTTCCATATTCCTTTCAGTTTATATCTTTCCTTGTCTTCATTGGATTGCAAATATTTATTGCTTTTATCAGCCGTGTGTCGGGCACAGTGCTATAGGCTAGCGGTATAACAGTGTATAGGGTACTGCTCCTTTCTTCAAGAGTTCATTATTAGAGAATAAAACAAGAAAGTAGAAGATTTCAAGTCAGTGTGCTAAATGCTGTAACGGAAGTAAGAAAGGATTCTTTATTAGAGCATGTAGGAAGAGAGACACTTAACCCATCGTGGGACTGGAAACTGGTGGGAGGTGTGGAGGGTACTCGGAGAAACCTTCTCAGAGGAATTGATTTCTAAGGAGAGACCAGAAGGATGGTTCTCTATCCTGGAGGAAGAGGGTGGGGTGCAGAATGGGAGAAGGAGCTCGGAAGTAGAGGAACATAGTGTGCAAAGATAAGAGAGGGAGGATTCCACCCGACCAAGCTTAGGGCTAGAGGGACGGGGATGAGCTCCGCAGCCAGGGGTGGGGGTGCAGGGCAGGCTGTCCTGGAAGAGTTTTAAGCAGGATAGTGATATGATCAGATTTGCATTTTTGAAGGATTACTTTGGCTGCCATGAGGAGAGTGGATTAGATAGGATCTAACCTGGAAGCAACAAGAACAGGCCATAGCAATCTGCAGGAGAGCTGATAGTGCCGGGTACCTGTGCCAGGCCTCCGTTTTCAGTAGCTGGAGCTCTGGGGATTCTGGGGTAATCTTAGAGAGGTCTGATCTGGCTGGCAGTAATTTCAGAGGCCTGTTATCCTTGAGTAGCCAGGTGGCATGTCTTGGAGGTGTCCACTGATGAAGACTTGTGTACGTCACAGGTGCCTTCCCTCAGTCCTGTGTGACATAGTCTCCCAGCGTCAGCCCCTTTGGGAATGTCAAGAGAGGCAGAATGTATCAGCTCACTCCTACCCTTTACTTCTCCTCGGGAAGAGGTCTCTTTTTGTCTTAAGTGCTTATTGCTATGTTTTGATCTTCAGCTACTGCCTATAAGATGTTGATGTCTTGAATCAAAGATCCTTTCCCCATGTCAGAAGTGCGTGGAATCCACCAGCAGGAAGGGAGAAAGCACTGCCGGATAGAGCGGGGAGGCTGTCTCGGGGTCTGCTTCACTGACAGGAGCCGCAGGCTGAGAGCCCCTTGGTGTGGAGCTGGGCAGGGCAGTTCTGAGTACTTTTGCAGTAAGGTCATCTTATCAGCTTGTGCCAAGATGGTGGCAGAGGTTGGAAAGAATAGAAGGATTATTAAGGTTGTAAGATCGACCTGGTAATGGATTGGATGTGGGAAATAAGGGAGAGGAAAGAACCAAAGATGACAACCTGCTTCCTGCATGATAAATGTGTGGACGAGGAGGTCACTCCTTGGATCCAGGAGGAGAAAGGGGAGTATTAAGCATATTTTCCCTTTGGTATTATGTTCTGCATTTTATAAAATGATCTTTAAAAGGAACAAACAAAATTTTATTATGCGAACAGTGTCTGCATATTCCTGTTCTAAGTATTGCGAAGAATAAGAAAATAAAAACCACTCATTCCCACCTTGATCATCTTTTTTTTTTATTGTTTTTTTAATAGACTTTATTCTTTTAGAGCAGTTTCAGGTTCATAGCAGAACTGAGCAGAAAATACAGAGTTCGCATGTAGCCCTCCCCACCTCAACATCCCTCATCAGTGTGGCATATTTGGTACAACTGATGAACCAACCCCACCTTGGTAATCTTATAAGCATTACAAATATTTACTTGGATATACTGCCTTTCATATATGCTTATAATGTTATATGTGTGAAGTCATCTTTTTTATACAAATTTACATTCTGGTTTCTTCAGTTAACAGGCGGTGAGAAACTGCCTTCTTGACAAATGTTAGCTTATCTCATAGGATCTTTTTAGTTTCAACCCTATAACTCAGATTTAACAGAGAGCTGTGGAAAAAAATCCAGAAACTGCTCCCAGATGACCGCGCGTGTGTGGACAGTAAGCGCAGATGTTCTTCTTGCTCAGCTAAGCACTGTGCTGCAGCTGGTACCTAGGGGTTCCCTCCTGACCTGCCTTTCTGCCCTGCTGCCTTGCGCGGAGAGATGTTTACTAAAGTGCTGCTTGTGTTTGCTTGGAACCTACTCTTTGTGATACTCCTTCAAAACAGAGAGAGCCCAGGGGTCTGAAAGCCTGCCATTTTCCTAAGATTTTATCACATCCACCAGGCTGACACAGAGGTTCATTTGAGGCCTGTAGAACCAGAGTCGTGTGTGTTGAATATATAATCCATGCCGAAGCTAGGGTCTTGGACTGTGATTTGTATTATCATCTTACGAATCAGGTATGAAACTTCTGTGTTCCCTGCTTTGGGGCAGTACTAAAAATGAAGACAGCTTAATGTTCTTTTGGCTTGTTAATTTTTGCCTTTCTGTCTGATGCCATCTTTCTTGAATACTTGAAATCTTTTTGGATTAAATGCAATTCCTGATTTACCGACTCTCTGCTACCTACATATCCCCATAGCAAGCTAGTCTTTGATGGCCAAATGGATTTTCTCCAGCCTTTTCCCCATTTTCTCAGTTCTTTCTTTTTTCCCCTCTTAGAGGCCAGAATCTGTTATTTTGTTTACTTGCTTTTTCAAAATGCCAGAAATAGTTTTTTAAGTTTGGTTTTCTCTAGATAGAATGTAATTTAATCGTAGATTAGTTCTTCAGCATTAACACCTTTCACAACTATGCAGACACCAGAGGAGATCCAGGTCCTGTGGCACCCAGCCTGGATCCTGCCAGTGTGCCTCACAGCGTTTCTGTTGGAAATGCTCCTGACTTCCAAGCCCACTGTGGGTCAGCGAGCGCCCAAAACCACTCATCACCAGGTGGCTGATTGCTTGTGTGCTTGATAATATGTATGGATGTGTAAACTTGAGGAAAAGATAATTATTACTTGTTTAGGAAGTTATTTGAATTAGAGTAAAAGTCAGTTGATTAAGGATATATGGCTTGGTTTTCTTTTTTTCTTTTTTTTTTTAACATGTAAATTTAAGCCACTATAAAGATAATATGCAATGTCACTGAACCTAACTTTCAATATTGGCAGTTAGATTATTTTATTTTAAAACATTTTCTTGGGGAAAAAAATTACTTATGTTGTTTCTGTTGCAATGTTTTTATTCTTTATAGAGAATCAACAAAATGTATTAACTAAATAGTTTAACATTTATTATTTAATTTAAAATTATATTTTAAATTTGGAAAGTGCTTTTGGAGCTGGAGTACCACAGATAGGGCAGAGTTAAAAATGTAAAGGGTTATTGAACCTGCACGACTGCTTCTGTTTCTCTCAGGAAATAGCACTTAAACTTATCCAGCATAACATGTAAAACCTACAAGACTACCTTTGCAAATAGGGATGGTACATATTAAGAAGCATATAACCTCAAGAATACTTGCTTCACTTAATTGTAACACAACACACATATCCTCACAAAGGCATGTAAAGCCAAAGGAAGTGCAAAAAAAATTAGTGAAATTTAGTCAAATTTTATGAAATGTAATGAAAAATTCAGTTTAATGAATGTCTATAAGTTTCTTAACTCCAGTGAGTTACCACTCACCAACCTGAAAGGTCTGCAACGGAGCCCAAGTCTTCACTTACCATCGCTGGGCTCATTTGCTGCTGTCTTCATGGGGGTTTAGTCTGGTGTAGGTCAAACACATTGCTTCAGTCCTCAAGGGGGCAAGAGGTCAGTAAAGGCTGCATGGTTTGAGGGGTAGTCAGAGAGGTGCTTTTGAAATAAATTTATAGCGTCTGAAAGTCAGTTTTACAGCAAGTGCCATGAAAATTTTTTAGTAAATATGTGGATGTTTTTCATTTGGGCAAATTTTGGGTTTTTTGCTCAGTAAAGAGTTAAAAATGAGTATCATGGTCTTTTCATCAGTATTTTTTTCTCTATGGGCTTTTGTGACTAAAAGG